CATTGTTTCTTTTAAAAAATAACATATAACAGCCTCAACCGGGCGGCGAAGCCGCCCACATCTGCATCCTCTAGTTACACAAATTAAAAAACAGATGTAATAGAAACTTATTGAGACAGATCACCCTTACAAAGAACTATGGAACCTGTCAAAAATACTAGTAAGTTAAATAGTATATTATTTTTTACAATTAAATATACAGTATACTAACTACTGAATTTAAAGACAAAGGCAAACATTCTAATTAAATTCAATTATCATAAATCCTCTAAAAAACTCAAATTGTAAGTGAATCTATTAATATTGAGGAAAGTATTGAGCATGAAAAAAGTTTGATTCAAAATGATAAAAATAATGGGTCAAAAAAAAAAGTATGTTATGAAAAAACTTCAAACCCTTTTATATAATTGAACTTTTAATTAATATGTATTTTACGAATTATTATATCGATATATAATAATATATCGTGCAAGCTCTTATTATCATAGATTTTTTCTTCTTGTTATTTTTTGTACATAATTACGTAAGCACAACAATCCTGAATTAAATCTCAGTTAGCCAACCATGACTCGTAAATCATGATCATAATTGCATGATAATATCGATATTGAATTATGCGATGATAAATATCAAAATTTATTCTGTCGGAGCAAATGATTGGATGAAACGTGCCACTACGCGGCACATGTCAGCCAATCATTTGCTCTGACAAAACAAATTTCATGATATTAATCATTGCATGACCACTTATTATTGTTTTTAATTTATATTATAAATACGAATGTAAGGTGTGTCTAAATTAATTACATGTAATAAAATAATTTAAAATAGATAATTTACTGGCTACAATCCCTAACAAATTACGTAGGTAGATTGAATCCTTGATGGCAGAGTTTCCCTTTGCAGTAAATTTAAATTGCTTTCGGTAACGATATTAAAAGGTTTAATGTATAGTACTGTACTGTTGTTTATAATTTTTATTTAATACAGTACAGTACTCATTTACATTTTATATAATGAAAAGTATTAAATAACAAAATACCATACGAAAACTTCTACGAATCGATCTTGATTTACTAATTAAAAGCTCTTACATCATTGCTACTTATGTGTCTTATATTGGTCGAATAACTACTGTTCAAAATTATACATGAATTTGGTTTATGAAACCATGCATTTATTGTAAGCTTATAATTATTGTAGCACGGATGTAACGACGTGCCCTGATGCTAGTATATATTAAAACTGGAGAGGGATTATATACATCATAATAGAATCCAACATAAATAACTTAATTTTGTGATTGATCACAGGCGAGAGAGATTCACTTTGGATCGGGCACTGTCTCTGCTGTTCGCTGTATATACGTATGTACAGTTGCCTCCGAAAGTTTGTCACGGTTACACAAAAATTATGATTTTAATTATTTGACAAATAATATACGTATACAACTCTCGATATAAGAAACTTTCAATATAAGAAATTCTTGATATAAGAAAGATTTTACAAATCCCAATTGAGAAATGGGGTCTTTGCCTTGAAAATCAAATATGAAACATATGATTTACTATGTCCCATAACTTGATTTTCAAGGCAAAGACCCTAAATTTTATCTTTAATATAAGAAAGATTTTTGGCCGGGTCCGGTTATTTGTTTTATACCAAGAGTCAGTTGTAATCATTTATATTTTATTACTTTGTGCGCAATATATTATATCGTTGATTTGGATATCGATATTTGACTATGTTTTTGTGTAACCGTGACAAACTTTCGGAGGCAACTGTACATACGTACATTTTAAAATTTTAAATACTAAATTTAATTATGCAATTTTCGCAATTACTATAATTAAAAAATTTTTTGCAAAAAATATTTCGCTTATCTATATATAATCATTGCACAGAATCGGACATTGCATATTCGTATAACATTTGCGCGAATTTCGCGGTCAATGTGTCCCGTGCCGAAATGATATTAAGTATGGTATGGGCGAACAGATCAGGATGATACAGACCAAAATTAAAAACCATACTATATATATACTAATCAGCTGTAATTCCTAATTCTAACGGTAATATACATACCGAATCAGTATCGTACAGATACTAACGCTAATCTGCCCCTGATAACACCTTGCCGAAATTCATCCGAATCTTGCAAAAACTAATTTTATTTCTGTCAGCAAAGTCAGTGTTTTAGTTACTTTCATATTTTCCATTAACCGTAACGATAAGTTATCGAGTCAGAATCAATAAGTTAATGACTTTGGCTGATGCCAAAAAACCTATCATTTCGATTATTTTTCAAGTATCTCAGAATTATTGAAACAGCCATAATGCAGTTCTAGCAATTTCATATGTATAATCATTTTTCAATTTTACCAATTGAAAAATGACTCGGGTCAGTTCTTAGTGTTGATAAGTCTTGCATATAATAATAAAACTGATTAACCTCATATTAAAGGAATACGTATTTGCAATGACATAATACAAATAGTTCTTTACTGTCATGTACTTTTTTTCTTCGTAGTACTTATGGATTTACAAGTTATAATTTTCTATCACCAATGAGAAATAAGCAGAGTTTGAACTTCACTGCAGATGAACTACTACATGCCAAGTTTGTAATAATAAAGAATCTTAGTTCATAATATTTAAAACTCTTTTAACCTAAAATATTCATATAAAATATTCAACTATAATAGAATTGGAATTTCTTTTAAGAAAATTGCTACAAATTATAATTAAATCACTATCGAAAATTTTCCTATACTCGAGATGACATGGATGCGTTCTATTTGTTAAAGCAATTATATTTTAAAATATTTTGCATATGTATATAAAATTTTGATTATACTTCGTTGAACACATACATGTGAAGCGTATGTTTAATCAAATCGTTATAATTACTTTTTTAAAATTATATTGACTACAAAATGGCCTATATTGTTTTCTAATTTAAAAATGAAATATGGCATTAATAATTGAAATAAATTGAAAAATGATGCGAAACATGCATAGATTTGAATATACACATAAGTTTAAGTGTGTCGTAATAATTTCTTTATTAATCGTAAATTTATACAAATATCTGTTGAAAACACCGTACCCCATTCAGTTAATAATTGACATGAATTGAGAAATGACGCATAATATATATAGTCCGATTGGTTCATTATACGTATAACAGTCTTTGCAACATTCCATTTAAAGTGTTTATTCTATACCAATTAGCCCGTCATATGATGACGAGCTCCAATACTAGTTAAAATTTATTAAGTTGACACTACTACATATGACCCACCCCGCGTACATGCATCCCGCATCAAAAATAAATATTTTTTAAAAAAACTTTTTTGGAATTTTATCAAACTCAAACTATTCAAACATGTTTACAAACTTTTAAATCAAATTTCAAATCTAATCAAACTTAATTAAAAGGTTTTTTCAAGTCAAACTTGAATATTTTTTTAAAAAATATTTGAAATCAAGTTTGATTTGAAATCAAATTAAATTCAAACTTAGTTTAAAGTTTGATTTGATTTGATTTGTTAAGAACCCTAATCTATCAAAACAGAAGTTATACCAAATTTTTTAAATATTTAAATAAAAATATCTTGATATCCATCTAATTAAATTTGATAAAAATTCTTTTTTTAAAAATTTTATAAATCTATTAAATTTAAATAAGAGATTTTATTAAATTTGATTTGATAAATATGGAATTATTTTTGCTTAAAGACTTAAAAAATTTTGATAAAACTTCTATTTTGAAATGTTTTAAAATTTTCCTAAAACTTTGAGTGAAGATATCTCAATAACCATCTGATCAAATTTAATAAAAATTGTTTATTTAGATTTTATAAATCTATAAAATAAAAATAAAAAAATTGTTAAATTTGGTCAATGGTTGATGAAATATCTTTGCTCAAAGTTTTAGGAAAAACTAGACATCTCAAAGTTGTATCATATTTTCTAAAAATTTGTGCGAAGATATCTCAGCAACTATCTGACCAAATTCGATGAAATTTTTTATTAGATTTGTCAAGTTGGTGTTGAGATATTTGCTCTTAAATGTTTAGTTTTGATAGCTCTACCCGTATAAAAAAATTTTCGACTAAAAATTTCGATCATGCATGGAGGTCATGTGATTGCTGATTTTTTATAGCACCACTACAATATTAACTACTATACAATATACCAGTTATTTTTATAAATTTTATAGTTAGTTATTGTGTTTTAGACCCTGGGTCGTTTAATCATTGTGGTATAGTATATTATTTAATAATTTTTAATAATTTTAATAATAAGACCTATACATAATAAATATGCTTCAAATAACTATTGATTTATATTACTTGCATACTAAAATCATATAACTCCAATATAAATAATAGAACCAAACTACGATTCTACTCGTTAATATAACTGCGCATCATATAAACAGCTTTCTCAATGTATTGTTTATATCATATATTTACTAAAGTTTCAAAAAGCAAATATTTGTGTACAACCTATTGTATTATATTGCCCTCCCACATTGCCAAACACCTGAATATTTATTGGTAGTGGAGGGGTATTTGGCAGTGCATCAAGTGCGCAGTTAACAAGAAAGTTGTCACCAGCATTAGTTGCAGGAATAATACAGACTTGCGATTGTTTAAGGCTACCATCAATTGACTCAATTGTAACAAAACCATCTGAAATAGATGTAGATACAGTTTGAGAAACACCGATAAAAAATTCTTGGTTAGGAATGGGTGGATCAGGTGTAAGTGATATATCGAGAGCAGGATCATTTATACATGGATCACTTATAGTGAGTCTTTTCTCAAATGGTACAGAATTGGTAACCGAAAATATCATTAATAAAATTAATGCAAAAACCGATTTTTGGAGCATTATTTCTTTGGTGTATGTTATTTAGCAATAGTATTTTATTTCGTAATTGACTTTGGTCATTGCCTTTTTATAACAATTTATCCAAAAAATAAAATAAAATAAAATAAATGAGTTTTATATTCAAGTAGATTTACTTAAAAGTTGCCTTAAATTCTCTAATAAAATTATTTCCATGAAGGTTAAATGAGACTTTTACGGTAAAAAGAGTTGGTCAAAGTTTATTTAATTGATTGGTGCAATCTCATGATCTCTACGGGTTTACTAATTTACCCCTAGACTAGAATTAATATTTTGGCATTATATTATAATTATAAGACGTTTCTTATACCCAAATTGACAAGGAAAATTTTTATTAGTGCGTAGAAGACAGTTTCATATATTGAATTTAGAGTTATGGGCGATTTTGAAATTTTCCTTTTTTTTTTTTGCGTTTCTTTTACGTTACACCTGATCGTGAAATTGGATTGGCTCCGATAAATTAATAATTAGTACAGCCAATCAGAAGTGGCGTAGGAAATTAGGGCACTCATGATCTACGAGTTGATTTGAGTTAGTCATTTCGAAAAGAACTGCACGCATGTGATATATTTGTTGGACGCATTCCAGCGCTAATAGCGCTGGATATTCAAACTTTATT